TGGGACGATTATCCCTGGAACGGCAATATTGAGGTGGTTTTGGTTGACAATCTGCCACAGCAGCACAACATGTACCATATAGGGATTTGAAAGTTGAAATTGTCATTAACATGCTTTACTATGTACTATCACTATCATCATCATCATCATCATCATTATTATTATTATTATTATTATTATTATTATTATTATTATTATTATTATTATTATTATAGTATTGTCATATTATAATNCTGTTTATATTTTATATTTGTCGACAGTGATTGTGGGTTATTCGTTGCATCGTATACCGAACATTTCATTTCGGGTCATGAGATCACCAAGGAGAAGTTTGATGTCACTTCTTTTAGGGAGAGATATGCATATTTGATCTATATTCATGGCCAAATGAAACAAACTAATGGATATGACAGTGATGATGAATCCCCTGGTAGTGCCCCCGATGAAGTTAGGTTTAGTCTTTTGAATGTGGGAAAAACATCATAGACATTTTTTAAGTATTTATGATTGATTTTCTGATGGATGTGATTGAATTTGGGAAAACATTGAACTTGTAGTCTGGTATATCTAACTTATTATCTGTTATATTTCTAGTATTTTAGATGTACTTTATGGTATTTTTCTGGTATATTCTGGTTGGACAGATTAATTGTACTTTATGTTTGGCATATGTGTGGTATGACTGATTATATAACTTATATTCTATTATGTTTCTAGTATGACTGATTATATAACTTATAGTCTGGTATATCTAACTTATATTCTGTTATAGTTCTAGTATTTTAGATGTACTTTATGGTATTTTTCTGGTATATTCTGTTGGACGGATTAATTGTTTTTTATTTTTTCTTTTCCCTTCTGTTTTTTATGTTTGGAATATGTGTGGTATATCTTTGGTCTATGTTTTGGTATATGTTTGGCATATGTGTGGTATATCCTTTGTATTACATTTTTATCCTTCGTATATGTTCTGTATATGCGTAGTATATCCAATGTTCAGTTTACTTTTCACAATTATATGAGTGGTATATCCAATGTTCAGGTTGCTTTTACAAATATAATATAACTACAAGAAAAAATAACAAGTAATAATATGACGCAACAATCAACTTTAAAACCGTTCATACTGTACATGGCAGTGCTAAGAATTTCATTGTATTGGATTACGACAAGTTTTCACATTGTGCCCTTTCTCATGACATTTGTTGCATCTATTTTTTGATCTATGCTCCCATCCCGACTTGAATCGTTGTTTGCGCGGTCTCCCTAGCCTGACTCTTCCATCTGGGGGATTTACCAATCTTGGGATAGACGGTGCATCAAATTTGAAGGCTTGATTACCTTCTATTGGTACTACAGCTTCTTCATAAGTTGCCAACATAGAAGATGTTAAGTAGTAATCAGAACAGAACAGAATGGGACCGGATCTAGGTAGAGTGACTTGATCACACGTATAGCGTGCGGGCACGGCAGCTCATCAACTTGAAAGTGGTGGCATGTGCAAGTCTTGGATTCAATGTCTACTATAAATGCCTTACCATCAGACATCACTTTATACACTTTGTCACTGGCTTTCTGTACCTGTTACACATATTAATATATATATATATATATATATATATAGTATATTTTCGGTGTATAACATGAATATTATACAATAACACAAAAAAAAATAAATAAATAAAAAGAATCCCACAAACAATACAAGTGTAATATGTTTATATGTGTTGCATAATATTATATTTATAGTATATAATCAGTCATACCAGGTGGAGTACAACATGTGTATATGTTGTACATATTAGTATATGCATAATATATAATCGGTACACTTGTCAGTATATGTATATTATATAACCGATTATAATTCATTAATAAAAATAAGAAATATAAATAACAACTCACTGAATATCTTGTTGTCATTTGGTAATTCGTTTCCAACCACCTATGTAGCTTCTTTACAAGAGGAGTAAAAGTGGCCTTCGCTTCATCTATATTTGCCACATTCCACCTCTGTTGCATATCTCTAAGCGTCTCTAGTAGTGGTGTTATCGGTAGATCAAGGACGGATCGTATGGCAGCATTTATTGACTCAGCAGCGTTGGATGTCATGGTAAAATATCTATTATTGGGACAGTGAACCCTTTCCCACTTGTGAAATCTAATTTCTTCTAGATATTGTACTACATTTTGATTCAGCTTATTTATCTGTGCTATATGCTTATCGAACTCCTCTATAGTATAGGCCCTCGCAGCTGCATAAAACTCCTCATTTACTGCCTGTGCTTATGTCTTATAATGCATCTTCAATTTGTTTGAGATGTGATAAGTGCACAGACAATGCGCCGCATTAGGGAATACCTATATAAATTAGATATGACAAATTAGATATGCAAAGCAACTGTACTGAAAATCAGCTGGAGAAGATATTATATGTCATGGAAAAGAATTTAATTGGTATGAGTGGTAAAGTTGCAAATATTTAATTGGTATACCAGAATATAGCTTAGATATAACAGAATATAACTTAGATATACCAGAATATTGCTTAGATATAACAGAATATAAGTTCAACTAAAGTCTGTCCATCAGAAAGTTCATAAAAACATAGTTGAGCTAGAGAAGATATTATATATCATGGAAAACAATACACAACTGTTACTGAAAATATACTACTAGCTGGAGAACATATTATATTTCACAGATAAAAAAAAAGTTGGAGAAGAAAATATATTTCACATAATAAATACTTAACTGTTAATTAAAATATACTACTACCTTTTCTACTGTGTACCTTATGCTTTCATTACGATCTGAAACAATGCAAAGACCCTCCCTATCACCAACTACTTCTTGCGATTTTGTGAAAAACCAGACGTAGGAGTTGTTATTTTCGGAGTCAACAACGCTAAATGCAAGCAGTAATATATGAGAATTTGCATCTTGACAAGAGGCTGTCAATAATATCCCTCCATACACCGACGACAAAAATGTCCCATCAACAATAACAATTGGCCGACAATGTACCCATCCTTTTACAGATGCACCGAGTGCCATGAAAACGTACATGAAATTCTTATCCCATGTGGTGCGCATCATCACAATGCTACCCGGGTTTGATGCACAAACCTTACTAAGATATTGATGAGCATAATCGTATGACTCATCAACCTTGCCACGAACTTCATCAACAGCTTTGCGTTTCGACCTCCATGCTTTGTGATATGTCAAGTTTATCCCAAACTGATTTTGCATGTCGTCAATGATATCACTCGGATTATATGCAGTTTTATTGTTAGTGAATTTTGTCTTGATGAAACTACTAACAAGGGTTGATGTCGCTTGTCTCTGATTACTAGTACACACATCCAAAGCACATATATGTTCAGTCCCCACATCTCTTATCTTAAAAGTGTTTGACCAACCCATACGTGAGGCTTTCACAAACCATGTACAATAGCTCGAGACACACCTGACATAATATTAAAAGTGTAAGATATAATAGAATATAACTTAGATATACCAGTATAAGTTAGATTTAACAGAATATAACTTAGATATACCAGAATACTAATCGCTCGAGACACACCTGACATAATATTGTTTGGAGCATGACTTGTCAACCTTGAATTGATACTGATGCTTTATAGCATGCATAGTCAGCATCGTCTATAACGTTTCCTTATCCTTTAGTAAAAGACCAGCACCAATACCAGAGTTAAAATTTTCCTCGCCTGTCAACCGCATTTCAGAACCAGGGTATATGTCCAGTATATTTTCGATATATGCTACCACTTCTACCATCTCTTCAGCCACGTTTTTCGCGAACGACATGAAATTTATACCTACAAATATCACGAAAATATACCTCCAAATCTCTGTCCAGTGTACTATTTTTATCTCGTTCTTCAGTGTTTTGTTGCGTGATGAGTTCCCACAAAAAAATCCGATCGCCGCCGCACGTTTAATTTTTTTTTCTGTTAACGAAGCGCGTGTTTCAGAAAAATCTCGTCGCCGACAAGTCGTTCTTCAGTGTTTTGTTGCGTGATAAGTTCCCACGAAAATTCCGATCGCCGACCCACGTTTTTTTTTTCCTGTTAAAGAAAATCGTGTTTCAGAGAAATCTCGTCGCCGACGTGTTTCCCTTCTCTTTTCCGCCTGTTTCAACGATGATTATTTCAAATTCAAATATAATATCTTTTCCATATTGAATCCTGAAAGTGTGCGCTACAAATATGGAATGGTTGTTCATCTTACCCGTAACTGTTATTAGGCATGTATATAATTACCTTTTATCTCTTAGGTATATACACAAATTTATTGGTTTGAATGGTAATGTTGCAATTACTTAAAAAACGGTAAGTATACATAAAAATTTCCCCTTGAAATATCCATAAATATATTGGATTCTATGGCCCAACTAAGTTCGTTAAGTAGGTTTTAATATTATTTTCTATTATAGATGTGATTTATAAAATATAATTTTTTCTCAACCTTTCTTTTAAAATTATAACAAATTTACTAACTGAAATTATAAATATATTTAAAAGTTAATAAATTTTTTATTTATTAAAAAATTTATATATATAATATATCAAATTAATTATGTCTTGATGAGCTTCGGTTTGACACCTATATTATAAATACAAATTAAATTAATAATTTTAATTAACTTTTTTTCCCGAAACGATAGATTATATTATAAATAAAAATGCACAAATGTGCGAATACACAGCAGCCAACGACTGAATATACAACAGTCAACAACTGAAAAAGTGGGAGGACAGGTCAGAAGACCGCCTAGAGTCCCGCTAGCAACGCTAGAAGAAAACTCGCAACTAAAATTAACCAACTAAAACAACTAACAGCAACTAAAAGGACAGTTTTGAACCTTGATATTCAACAAGTGCCTCTCTCTCCCTCGTCGCCCAAATCGCAGAACCCTAACTCGGTAAATTCGAGCGCGCCGTTGTGCCTTCCCCGGCGATTCGCCGGCCCTTTTATCGGCCGATGGCTCGCCGTTGCACCCTGAACCCCTTATCCTTCTCTTCTACTTCTCTTCTCTCTTGCATCGACGGCGGATCTGAGATCTCTTTCACCAGTGGAGGTCTCTGCGGTAAGGGTTCCAGGCCCGTTTTGTCAAGGATAAGCCCGCTTTTGGCTCTGTTCTGGTTTTGGTTCGCTGCTGGCGGGCTCAATTTCGGAGCTTCCAGTGGTGGGCTCGTCTTGCATTGGGAGGTGGAGGTTCAGTGTTTGGACGGGATTGGGGGTGGCTCTGGTTGCTCGGCTCGCCGGAGTTGAGTGGGTCGGGGCTGAGTGGGGTTGTTTTCGAGCCTCCTGAATTCCCCTGTCCTCCCATTTTATGTAGTTGTTTGCTGGTTGTATTCAGCCGTTGGCTGTTTGTATTCAGCTAGTGGCTGCTCTTTTGCACAGTTGTGTGCTTTTATATAAAATCTCTATCGTTTCGACAAAAAAAAAACAACTAAAAGGACCCCAACAGAGTAATACCCGAGTGTCGGATCTCATTGGGATAATAAGGTGACACTCGGGTTCACTGGGGCCAACAGCCCAGACCAAAAACATAGTTTTAATTAACTTTATAATTAAAATTAAATTACTTATTAATAATTATTCAAATAAAATTATTTAAACTAAATAGCGGGCTTTGGTTTGGCTAAATATTTTGGTGTGAAGTACAATAACAATCTTATGAATAATTATCTTCCAAAATCATAATAATCCATTACAACTCATACTTACATGTGAATTGGAATAGCAAAATTGCAATTATAAGGAATCTAAGAGTATATTACTTGATGCAAACATTTACACGGCTCAACCATAGTTAAATGAGTCAACCCTAGTGGGTTTCGGGCTAGTCCTAGCGGGCTTCAAACTAATCGGTCCGGGCCTAAAAAGCCCTGACAC